ACAGAAATATAATTTCTAGTTTGTAGAAATGAAAGCATTACTTAGTTTAGCTAAACACAAGGTCAACTTGCTTTCAGCTGTTATGCGCCAGTGCCCACCCCATTTGTATGAGTGACCACATGAAGACCTTTGTATTTCCTAAGACAGCAGCCAGACAGTCTCAAAGTTTTATGTAAAGAACTTCTAGTGAATGTTGCTATTTTAAATAATAGTAAAGTTAAACAGCAAGTCGTTCATTCATTATATTTATTTGTAGCAAAATAAGTGTACTTTTTAGGATGAGAAAAGTAAATTATTGCTTATAATAACTGCCTCATTCAAATAATCGATAGTATGTATGTTATAATAGTTGTCTCATTGATATAAGAGGTTTTGAATCCTTTTCAGGGCAATAATTGTAAAAAGTATGCTTAAGTATAGAAACTAAAACTATAATCAGTATGTTAGATCAAAATCAGTTGTATATTTTCTTGTCCTTTATCGTTTTGAAACAGTAAGTTTTCATGTTAAATAAGCGTCCTTTTCAGGACAATAAGTTATTTACATATAAAAGGTCAGAACATGTAAAAGTGTGATTAAATCTTGAATTCATTAGCATTATATACTGACTGTATTAAATCTAGCCATTGATTACATGTTGAGACACGTTGATCCACTTCATGGACGTCATTGTCTGGGATGTCTTGTCCACCTTTTATGCAGCCTAGCAACTCGCCCTCTGGTGATACTTTGTGGAACTATAACGTCATCGTCTCTACCCCATTCCTGACCCTGAGACAGTCAATCAGCACGTGTATGAAGTATAAGGGTAACAATTCATGTATAAGCCTCATCTACTCAGTATAGACAAACCAACTTATAAACACGAATAAACATCTTCCAATCAGAACAGACAAATAAACTATAAACATATATAAGACTGATTAGAAACAAAAGATTAAAGTTATAAAGATGTGGAAACATCATCAAACTAGTTGAAACAAATATACAGATAGCCAACCTAATAAACTATTTCAATACATGTAGAAAATCAATAAGATTATAGTTTAAAGATTAGTATTGGAGAAACAGGTAGTTAATTACATTGTAGAATCTGGAAACTTGTTAAAACAATGCAACAAAAAATAACATTATCTGGCAAACCATGGTCAATGAACTCACAGGGACGTCATAATAATCAAAGTCCTCCAAAAAACTCATAATAATAATTTCTACATAGTAACAGTTAAATTGGAAACACTAGGAATAAACAGGCATACAGCTTGATTGCTAAATTATTATATATTTCATATGGTAACACTTAAATTTTTACTTTGATTTAATTGTAAGTTGAGTCGTTATATAAAAATAAGTTTGGAGCCTCGCCATGTCATTACAGTACATTTCACTATGACCATTTTCTATTTGACG